TTTTTTTTACTTGAGACAGAATGAGAGAGAGAGAGCACATGAGAGGGGGGAGGGTCAGAGGCAGAAGCAGGCTCCCCGCCGAGCAGGGAGCCCCATGCGGGACTCGATCCAGGGACTCCAGGATCATGACCTGAGCCGAAGGCAGTCGCTTAACCAACTGAGCCACCCAGGCGCCCTGGACGTTTGACTCTTATGATGCTGTAACTCTGGAAATCAGATTTTCCTCCCTTCCTAAGGTTTGCTGTTCTTTGTTTTTATTTTGTTGTTGTTGTTTTGGGATTTTTTTAATTGTTGTAGGTTATCTCTGCCAAGAATCAGTCTGCAGTATAAACTTAAGGTCTTCCTCAGGTCTTTTTTTGGGGCATGCACAGTAACATTCTAATTTCCCTTGTATATATGGCTGCCTTTGAATGTCCTAAGTTTCAGCGTCTGGCTCTCAAAAGGGGAGAAAAAGAAAAATGAAATGGTGGGAGGAATGTTGGCCCTTTAAATCCTCTGGAGTCCCTTCAGCCAGAGGGGGAGAGAGACTTGTATCAATTAGGGGCAGTTCAGTAATGGCCACTGCCTCTTTGTCTGCACCCCTGTGATCAGAAGCAGCAATTAGCAATCAGAGCACAGATCCCCTATATTTGGAGGATAGCTTTTGTTTGTTTATTTGTTTGTTTTTGCCCACCCCCCACCCCCGGCTTGTGCATTTTTTGCGCCAGCTGCTCCAGGAACACTTGCCCAACTAGTTGTTACAGGGCAGAGGGGTGGGAGATAGATAGCTGCTACTGTGCTAAGAGCTGAAATTGACTGAATTAACCACAGTGTACCATCCAGTACTTCCCCTGGAAGTCACAGGCCTTCAGTAGACCACTCTGGAATTCAAGAGAATTCCAAAATAGTTACATAACATAGATTCTGCCAGTGCAGTCACTGTCTGGGTGACAAATTTGTGGTGCTTCCTATTCTGCCATCTTCCCAGAATCCATCCTATTTGTTTTTACATACACTGTAACTTACATTGATCCCCTGAGTGATAGCATTTAACTTTTAATGCAGTGTGTCTCAAATTAGAATCCAAGATGTGTTCTCTGGGGGTTGTGAGTTCTTCATATGAAAAACACTTGTTTATAATTTAGTAGGGGAGAAGGAGAAAGACATTAAATAACGTAATGAAACTTTGATAAATTGTAAAAGGAGAATACAATGCACAGCATTGAAGTGTTTTCTAAACTCCTAATTTTGACCTGTTTTTAAATAACTGGATTTTAGAATTACTTTAAGGGTTTTTTTTTAATGTAATATTGCTTTCTGAAATTGTATAAGGATGCTGCAATGTGTTAGCACACGTGCTAATGTGAAACCCATTATTAATGAAATGGAATACTAAAAGTTGCATGGCAAAATTACGTTTCTTAAGTCTTGTTATTGATACGTGGTCAGATTCTTTAGGGGTTTGCTAGTTCCTCTTTTTTAGAATATCCCTGTCCCTTTACTAACCCCTACCCCCATCTCTAATTGTATTGTAGGATTTCATTATTGTCCTAGTTGAAACACAGGCAATGGTATATTAGATTATAGTATACTAATATATACTGATAATAGGTTAACAGTAGGTTTCTATGGTTTACAGTAAATTTTCCTTTGTATTTTACTGTATCCTCACATAGTCCTCTTGGGTAAAGGCATGTGTTGTTATCTCTTTATAGATGGAGTAAATGAGTTAAAATAACACTTGTGACTTACCTATATAGTCAGAGTTACTAGATGGTAGAGTGAGATAGAGACAGCACTAGAACCAAGTCTTTTAATAAGTATCACTTGAAGCAAGGTGCAAGGGAAGGGGTTTCTTCATTTGAAATAACTTTCAAGTAGATTCTTCTCAAGTCTTGCTGTTGTTTGATTAACTCCTAAGTAAAGCTGATAATTTCATGTCACCTGTTCTGCTACCCACTGGCCGGGTTACAGATCCCAAGGTCTTAAACTAGCCAGATTTGCTATCATTTCTGATTTTAGCGCTCTTTACCTCAGCTATTTTAAAGTATGTGCTTTTGGGGCGCCTGGGTGGCTCAGTCGTTAAGCATCTGCCTTCAGCTCAGGTCATGATCCCAGGGTATTGGGATCAAGCCCTGCCTCGGGCTCCCTGCTCAGTGGGAAGCCTGCTTCTCCCTCTCCCACTCCCCCTGCTTGTGTTCCCTCTCGTTCTCTGTGTCAAATAAATAAATAAACTTAAAAAAAAAAATAAGGTATGTGCTTTCTGTGACCAAATTTTTCTGCATTTCTTCCTTTAGAAGTACCCTGTTCTTCAGCTCTGTTGCTAGGATATTGTGTCGTTCTGAATTGTGTATCGTACCCTCCCAACCCATTCAAATTGTCCTACCCATTTGTTTTCCATTCCTACCTCCTCCAAATTGGAGAGCTAGGGAGTATTACTATTTTGTTAGATATGATTTCTGTATTTTGTAACACAAGAATTTAGAAAATCTCAAGTTACTAAGTAAAAATATAGTTTATTCCAAGTTAAATGTTTTAATTCTATACCTGCTAACACAGTCTTAAATATTTTTATCTTTATTTTAGGCAGCTAAACTGGAGGCAGTCAGGTCATGCCGCTTGAGCTTCCTTTATATAGGCTCTTACTTGAGACCATCTTTTTTGATCTTTCTTTCTAAAATAGATAGGTTTTCTTATCCTGACATTGCTTTTGGTTGAAATTCTTGCTTAATCCTCAATGTGAACACTCTTGTTTTTTGTCCAATTTCATGTTCTTTATTACCATCATTTCCCTTCAAGTATAATCATTCACTCATGTTAATTCTAAAGATACATCTAAAAATAACTTATTGTGCATATATTATTATGCTCTTTAAGTCAAAGAACAAATTATTACAAATTATTTCACTAGTCTATATTTTTTTATTCTGAACTGAACTTCAAAATTGAAATCAACTTTATGGTGTGAATGCTCATATCTTAATAGCAACTCTAACCTATAGTATTTACAACTGCCTTAGTTATTAACCTCCTACAAACTGAGCAGTTGACTATAATTTTTTTGCTTTACTTTTTATTAAAAAATGTTAATTGGAATAGCAGAATTATTAGTGTTTATAAACATACCTTCCTTATACGTAGAGGGAATAGTACAGTGAACTCTCACGTATACTCATCACTGAACTACAACAATCATTAACCCATGTGCTCTCATATGATCGATAATCCCTCCTATTCCTGACCTCTCATTGTCATTATTTTATTTTGAAGTAAATTTAATACTTTATATCATTTTGTTTGTATATATTTCAATATCAAATAGACTTTTTATATGACTAGAATCAAAAGATAACTTCTGTACAATGATGATGATACAAAACAACTTTTTTCACTGTATGTTTGGTAATAAATGGGCAGAGGGAACCAAAAGGTTTTGTTGCCATAATTTTTGAAGAACGTAACTTCTTTTGTAACTTTAAGTACCCTTTTCTTTCTTGCCATCCTCTGTAATTGCTTAAACAAAATACAGTGAAGTTGTGCCGTTAATTTTTTCGATGAAGTATTAGCAATTTTAGTGATCTCTATAGGTAATTGGATAATTTCAGATATTCATAAAATCTCAAATGTCTGTAAGTTGACTAGTTTATTTAAATAACAATCATACAGATAGTATTTGTATCATGTTGATTCATGAATTTAAATAAAAAATTTTAAAAAACAAATAGTATTTGTATTTATTAGGTTTGGTTTTTCACTAAATCATTTGAAGATAGATTATTACATTCAAAGGTAGGACCTGCATATAAAATAGTTAATGTCATGTTTATATATAATAAAGTATTCTCATTTTTAACCTGCTACTTGATGTAGCCTAAATGCATATTATATAATTATTTAACCATGCAGCTGTGTTGTCTTTATAAGCATTTTATCATATCATCCAGATCTAGTACTTTGCTAAAAATAGTGTAAAACATTTGAACCTTTTAGAAAAGCCCATATACTTGGAAGAAAATGGCTGGCTATTTTGTGTATAATGTTTCTTTCATACAGTTTTTGTTTAATTCTTTAGTTAATTGGAATAGCAGAATTATTAATGTTTATAAACATACCTCCTAAAATTTGTTTAAAGGATAGTCGTTTTTTGGATTCTAAGAAAATGTCATTTGAAATGGTACTTTTACACTCTTAAATATGCAGGAGAAAGATAATTTTGAAGGGGATTATGTCAGTTTTTTCTGGTATGTTCGTAATATGTTCTGATATGTTTTTCATTTCTTATTTATTGCATTTTACTCTTTAAATTTTATTTCATCTACATAATAATTACTTTCCAGCTTAACCAGAAAACCAAGCTTCTTTCAGTCCATACTTAATCAGACATATGTTATTCTACTTGGGTTTTTTGTTGTTTTCGTTTTAGTTTTTTGACTGTTGTTATTCTGTGAGTTGTCTAGAATAACAGGTGGAAAGCAAAATTGCAACTGAAAATAGAATTGTTTTCTGGGTGATAATAGATTGGAATCTTCATGATATCCTTGGGAATAGAAAAGCTAATGATTTCTGAGCAACTTTGGAAGAATTCTTATGCAAAGCATATTTGTGGATTTTTTAAGAAGGCTGGTAAACTTCTTTACAAATCTTAATTATGTCTGTCTTAGCAGAAATAATATATTTCTAAAAGCAAATTAAATTTAACTGTTTATACTTAATTCTTTTCATCTGGTGCGGGAAACTGGATTCATTGATTAACATATGGAAAGCTCATATAAAATAATTTAAGAAATAGCAGATCTTTCATTTGCTTCTAACATTTGTGAATATTGATACGGAATGTATAAATTGTCCTGTTAAGCTAACACATTTACAATTCTTTTCTTAAAGGCAAATCCTCCTCCAGTACTGGTCAACACAGATAGCTTGGAAACGTCAACTTATGTAAGTTCAATTTCCTCCACACATTTAAGTAATTCTGCTTTTCCTGTTCAGTTTTTGATACATACACAAAGATCACAGCTTCATTTTCTTTAATACATTGTACTTATGATGTTCTTTCACTGATCTGTAATTGCTAAAGTACGTGAAGCAATACTCTCTCTTTTTGGTTGTTTTTTTTCCCCCATATTTATGTAAAGCAGAAATGTTGAAATAGAAATTTATGATTTATTTTTAAATTAAAATTATTAATTTTCACTAAAGGCTATCGCTGACCAGTGGTCACTTACACAGTGCTATATATTCAGTCATTTTAGAAATCTAGTTGGGTGACTAGATTTTTAGTACCCAGGTTTATATGTACTTTCAAATATTAAAATAGTTATAACTTAATACTAAATTGAGTAGTGCTTCTCTATAAACTTAACTTTGTTAAAAAGCCCTTAAAGATAAGCAGCCAGAACAGCAGAATCTAATCCAACATTTTTTACTCCAAAGGAAAATTTTTTTTTTCAAATAATACATAATTTTATAGACTGTAAAAGTCCTTTTTCCCCTTTGAAATGTAGTTGATTTCAGTGTGTATTTTAAAACATTGCCTAAACCAAGGTCATGAGGACCCTTAGGTTTTCTTCTAAGAGTTTTATAGTTTTAGCTCTTATACTTAGGTCTTTGATCCATTTTGAGTTAATTTTGTATGTTGTGGGAGGTAAGGGTCCAGCTTCATTCTTTTGCATGTGGGTACCGGTTGTCCTGTCCCATCACCATTTGTTGAAAAGACTATTCTTTCTACATTGAATGGTCTTGATATCTTGTAGGAAACCAGTTAGTTATAAATACATGGGTTGGGGCACCTGGGTGGTTCAGTCAGTTAAGCATCCAACTCTTGATTTTGGCTCAGGTCATGATCTCAAGGTCATTAAGATAGAGCCCTGTGTTTCCCTGGTTTTCCTTGTGGAGCATACTTAAGATTCTCTCTCTGTACCTACCCCCTGACTGCTTGTATGCATACTCTCTCTGTTTCTCTAAAAAATAAAAAATACATGGGTTTATTCTGGATTCTTAATTCTCTACTAGTGATCTATATGTGTATCCAAATGCCAGTACCACATAGTATTAATTACTGTAACTTTGTAATATTTGAAATCAGAAAGTATAAGTCCTGCAACTTTTTAAGTTTGTTTTGGCTATTCTGGGTTCTTTGTGTTTCTATATGAATTTTAGGATCAGCTTGTCAATTTCTGCATGCAACAAAAAGCTAGGATTTTGATAGGAATTGATTTGAATCTGTAGGTAAATATGGGCAGTATTTGCCATCTTACCAATATTATGTCTCTAATCCATGAACACAGGATGGCATTCCATATGTTTACATCTTTAGTTGTTTTCATTTTCGGTGTACAAGTCTTAGACTTCTTTTGTTTAACATTTATTCCTGAGTATTTTATTCTTTTAATGCTGTTGTAAATGGAATTGTTTTCTTAATTTTATTTATGGATTTTTCATTGCTAGTGTATTAGAATATAATGGATTTTTAGGAATTCATTTAGAAATATAATAGATTTTGATCTTCTGTCCTGCAACCTTACAGAATTTATTTACTAATGTTTTGGTGAAGATTCCTTTAAATTTTGTAAATAAGATCATGCCATTTGCAAGTAGAGATAGTTTTACTTCTTCCTTTTGTAATCAGGATGGATGGATGGATGGATGGATGGATGTATTTATTGCCTAATTGCCCTGGCTAGAACCTCCATTACAATGTTTAATAGAAGTGGCAAGAGCAAATATCCTTATCTTGTTCCTGATCTATGGTAAAAAGCTTTCAGTCTTTTACCATTAAGTGTGATGTATTATACTCAATTTTTAGTATTAATTGATACAATTTCATTGGCATTGGGGTTGATTCTGTCTCTGTGCATTCCTGCTCTTTTTTTAAATAGTGAAAAATATTAAGGGAAGGCAAAGTTAAAAACAAAAATTCTGAGTTCTTCTGGGTTCAGTAATAGATGGAAATGAAGTAATTTGTTGAAATAATTCTCATCTGTTTGTCTTTTTTTTTCCTTAAGACATCCTACAAATAGTGAAGGTTAGGAAAATTCATTCAATTTGACTTTGGTAGTTTTCTTACATACTAAAAATGTCTTCACTTTTTCCATATATAATATAATGGATAACTCCCAATATTTTTAAATCAACCTAAATGTTGCTATTCATTATTTAGTAAACTCTTAAAAGTAAATTCTTTTGACGTTAATACTTTTGTATTTAGTTATGTGAATTTTTCATTAGGAAGAACATTTTCTTCCTTCCAGTGCATTTTTATTTTTAGATTCTTATCTTGTGGTGGTATATAGACTTGAAGTTTTTAATTGCCTGAGAGTATGCATTAATAGGAACTGTGAGCCACATGACTTGATAAAATCTTGACTTTCAATATTAATGTATAGTTAGAAAGGAATTACTGAATTGAACCTAAACAACAAGAAATTAGTAAATTAGGCTTCTTTTTAAATTTTCCTTTGGAGAAGCCTTACACTGATTATGTAATAGGATTCATCTGTCCTATTCAGATATATTGGTATAGGCTGATGAGAAAATGAAAATCTTTGGGCCTGTAAGGGACTGAGGACATCTGTGTTATAAATTTTCCTCTGCCTCTTTATGGCATATATGTACCCATAATTAAAACAAATTGTATTAAAAAGAAAAAATTTATACAACTTAAAAATTAATAAGTGCTATTCCAGTATACTAGCAGCAACTAATTGTAAATAAGTCAATTAACTCTGGCAACAAAAATATGAAATACCTAGCAATCAGCTTAACAGGAAATTAGAGAGTTTGTAATAAGAAAACTATAAAACTTTGCTGATGGCTTCAAAGAATACTTAAGTAAGCAGAGAACAGATCTTACTGCTGAGCGGGAAGATAATGTAGAGATCATCATTTTCCCCAGATGAATCTGTAAAGTTGGTATAGTACGAGTTATAGCCCCAGAAAAGAGAGCAAGTGTGTTTGGGGGTCAGGGAAGTAAGGGAGAAAGGAATGAGATAAAATGAAAGAGGAAGAATTTTAGAATTTAGTTTCTCTGTTGCACTAGTCACATTTCAAGTGCTCGGTAACTATATGTGGGTAGTAACTCCGGTATTGGACCCGACAGATTACAGAACATTTTATCATCACAGAAACTTCTGTTGAACAGTGTTGATGTATAGAAAAGTAAAAACTCAAGAATAGTCAAGTAAAATTTAAAATAAGAGTAATTGTGAGAGATTTCCCTACCAAATGATAAAACATAAAGCATCACCAAAAAAAAAAAAAAAAAAAAACCCATAAAGCATCATTAATTAAAGCAGCAGAGTTGTGGTCCCAAACTGGATAGATCAGTGGAATACAACTTAACCTAGACATATATTATATAATCTGATTTTCTTTCCTGATCAGGTTTCTTTTAGATTAGTTGCTCTTAGTTACAGCTTTGTAGGGTTTTTTCTCCATGAATGTTAGGATTTAAAATATTTAGGAATTTACCACCTATTCTTAAACGCCGTTGTAATTTGTGACTTTTACCCAGACTGCTGCCATAACTTCACCAGTTTACTTTTCTCCAGTTGCTCTTCTTCTGTTCCAAACTACCATAGCTTCTTTCCTGGAAAACCTATTAAACCTATTTGATGCTCTGAAACTTTCAAGAATATTTCTCATTGCTTAGTACAGCATTCCAGACCTTTCACAGTCAGGCCCCAGTCGACTTCTAGTTTCTGCTCCAGCTTTGTTTGATCCTCTACACAATCCCATTTTGTTGATAGGCCTGAATTCAAAACCTAGAAAATATTAGCAATGACTGTTCTCAGGAAGTATTCTAGATCTACTCTCATATTTTTAAAGAAGAAAAAATTATTTTGTCAATAATATATTCATTTTGCCTAAAGATCAATCTACTCTGGTTTTATTCTCGTTACATCTCCCCCATCCTGCTAATTGAGAGTAATAAACCTTATATAATAATATAAATAATATATTAGGCAAGCATTTTATTCCTATTGGAAGCCACATTTTGTAAAGATATAAAAAGAAAACTAAGCAAACCAACCATTTTGTAGTTTTGCTGGAAAACATACTGCTGTTGAAAATATTACACCACCATTGTTTTTTTCACTTTTACTGAAGTGATACCTACAGAGTAATTTGTAGTTTTGGTAACGTGCTCTTGGCATTTTGAAGCCCAGTTTGAATATGTTTAAAGTTGTTATCAAATTGTCTCTGTATATGAAATTATCAGACAGTTTTAAGTTATTGAGGGTTTAGGACTAAAGGCATTCAGAGTTCCTATGGTCTTCTCACTTTTCACCTTTTTATGATCACTCTATGCTTCCTGGAATCCTCACCAGATCTCAATGACTTAGCATTAAATTAAGCACCCAAACATATTTACCATATATTTACCTTTTGAGAAGGCTTAATGGTGAAAATCTCAAATTTCTAAAAACAGAAATTAAGGTCACAGTATAGAAATTTTACTTATTAACACGAAAAGGGCAATATAAGCACACTTATGTTGAATGTTTTCCAGAATAAAATTTCAGAGTATTTGGAAATAAATGAACAAAAATAGAGCCCTGTGTAGCAGTTTTGAGATTTGGCCAAAGCCATGTGCCGAGGAAAATTTATTAACTTTAATGGATGTTTTTAAAAATAGAAGAGTAATCAGCACAAATGAATTGGGTGTTCAGCTCAAGAAGTTAAAAAAAAAAAAGTCTGAATAAAATAAAGAATTGAGGGGCGCCTGGGTGGCTCAGTCGTTAAGCGTCTGCCTTCAGCTCAGGTCATGATCCCAGGGTCTTGGGATCGAGCCCCGCATCGGACTCCCTGCTCGACGGGAAGCCTGCTTCTCCCTCTCTCACTCCTCCTGCTTGTGTTCCCTCTCTCACTGTCTCTCTCT